CACAGGTAGGTGGTTCTACCTTAAGTTTGTTGACCTCGGTGAGGAGGGCTGGTTCACTGGAGCCAGAGGTTTCTCGTGTGTTAATGTACCACTTCCCCGAGAGAACCTTCTCGTCCATTTGCGAACCTGCCAATTCTTCAGCTGACATTTTGAGCCATGCCTTAAGGGGCAATGTGCTGCGCACGGCTATTGGGTTAAGTCCAGTCAGGGGCTCCACGTGCAAAATGGCACATATAGTGTCCAGGTTAGTTTCTGAAAATGAGAGAATTTGTGGTAAGAGTCAGGGAATCTCTGAGTCCAGAATCCTACAGGCATTAGTTTTTTGTCTTCTGTTCCTCTTTTGTCTAGTCCCCACCTAGTTTCATGTTCTGCCATGAAACTAATGCCTAGTACTATTTTGTCTCCTGGTCCGATACTTTGTAGGGATTGAAAGTGGTGTATGTAGTCCTTTAATTGTTTGAATGCTTGTTCCTGTTCTTGGGTCCATATGAAAGATACTGCTTTCCTGGTGACTTTGTATATGTGTTTTGCAATGTCTGCCAGGTATGGTATGTGTTGTCTCCAGTACATGAAAAGTCCCATTAATTGTTGTGCTTTTTTGTTGGTTGGGCTTTTTAGGTTTAGCAATTTCTCTATTACTTTGTTCGGTATGTTTCCGCCTGCAGAGCTCCAGTGGATGCCTAAAAATGTTGTTTTGGTGTCTGGGGGCTGGATTTTGTCAGGAGTAATTGTGCAGCCTAGTGATCTCAAATGAGATACTAGTGCATCTAAGTCAGTTTGAAGGGTATCCTTGTCATTGTTATAGAGTAGGATGTCGTCTATGTATTGTATAGTTGTAGATTTACATTTGGTGGGGTCGATGTTATTGGCAAGTAAATTGTGTGCAACTGTAGGTGAATTTCTGTATCCTTGTGGAAGTCTTTTGAATTGCAATTGCTTACCTTGCCATGTAAATGTGGTAATAGGTCTGGATTCCTTAGCTATTGGGATGGCAGAAAACATGTCTGATAGGTCAATTGCTGCCCTGCATTTCGGGTTGGCTTTTTGGGTCATATTGAGTACTTCTTGTGCGTCAGGCAGGCAGCCATCTGTCTTTGGTGAGGCCTTATTCAGGTTTCGATAGTCTTTTGTGATCCTGTAGGTGCCGTTAGGCTTTTTTACAGGCCAGATTGGGCTGTTATAAATGTGTGACCTGCCTGGTTCTATTTTAGCCTCTTCCAGAAGTTTTTTAAGTGCTTTGGTTCCATCATCATGTCCTCCTTTTAGAGGGCACTGAGGTGTGAATGAATGTGTATTTGGTTCTGGTAATGTTAATGGAGGTAATTTTAGTGCTGTTAAGAATGTCTGTATTTTATGTAATGTAGGTTTATGTATGATGTGACTAAAGAGTTGTGGGATTAAGCCCATACCTATAATGTTTTGAATTTCTGGTGCTATCAAAAAGGTTGCTGGGATTTTCTTTCCTTTATATGCGTCCAGGAGTGGGCACTGTTCGGATTACGTTGCCCATTACTCCTTCTGTGACTACTTTGTTGTGTGTTACTGTGCCTTTTAGTAAAGAGACTTGTGATCCTGTATCTACTAAAAATGAGTGGTTTTGAAAATGACTTCCATGTAGTGATACTTGTAGTGTTATGTATGGTCTATTATCATGTTCCATTCGAAATGTTTCTGTAATATTTATGTGGGGGAGGGTTCCAAGGGGTAGGGGTGGGTAAATTTGTTTGTGCCCCCTACTGCCGAACTTGCTGTGGTCGGTGGGAGCCCTACCAGTTTCCCTGATTTGAGTTTTGTTTAAAGGGGTTAGTGCCTTGTCCATTTTGGAAGGGGTTGGGATTTCCTTTAAAGTTTCAATTTCTAAATAAGTCATTGTTTCCGAAAGGGCCATTTTGTCTGAATGGGTTTTGTGGCTGGGTGGGTTGATTATTCCTGAATGGATCATTATTTCTAAATGGATTACTATTGTCTCTGACTGAGTTGTTATTATTACTTCTGAATGGATTATTGTTTTTGAAGAACGGATTGTTCCTTCTCCAGTAATTAGCTTGTCCTTGTCTATACTGGTCATTCTGCCTGTTTTGATTGGTTTGGAGTGTTTGTAAGGGCTTTGGAGGTCCTCTATACTGTTGCATGGGGAATGGATATTTCTTTGATTCCTCTGCCGTGAAGGCGAATTTCTTTTCTACTAACAGGTCTTGGTGCAGTTGGATTTTCTTTTTAATATCCTCTGCAGTGCTGGACCCTGCGATAAGGTTCTGAAGCTGCATTTTGTAGCCATCTGAGCGTTTCTTATTAGTATGCTGACCATCCCTTCTACCTCTGAGTTTTCCCATGGTCAGCTCCAGTCTGGTTTAGAGAGGCTCATTAGAATCACCCATTTTCTTAACTGGGTCTGTAATTGTGTAAGAGACCCCAGTGTTCTGACAACAGTCCTGTAGACAGGTCTACTCCTGGAATGCTCTTCTCCGCGCATCTCCTATCCAGCTCCATAATGATCTTACTGTATTTGAGTGTTGTTCTGCAATTTCCTTTAGTGCTGTTTTTAATTTGGCTAATTCTGTTGCATCTATTACTGCTGTGAGTTCATCTGCACTTAACATTGACGTGTCGCCTCCAAGTTCATATATTTTTACAAGCCACTCTACGTCTGTTAATTCTCCTTTAATCAATAGTTGTCTGAGTTCTGCTAATTTCTGCTTGAAAAGGAGGTGAATTCTACTGATTGCTCAGTCCCTTCATTTTCCAATTTGATTACCTTCTTTTTTTACTATTACTGGCTTGCTGGAGTATTTTGCAACTACCTTCTGTGCTAGTGATCTTCCCTTGTCAGTGTCCTCCTGCAGGTGATGGATTGTCTGGCGTAATATTCCTACTACCTCTTTCTATTATTGCAGTGGTTCTCAACCTGGCCCTTTAAATACAGTTTCTCATGTTGTGACCCCCAACCATAAAATTATTTTCGCTGCTACTTCATAACTGTAATTTTGCTACTGTTATGAATCGTAATGTAAATATCTGATATGCAGGATGGTCTTAGGCAACCCCTGTGAAAGGGTCGTTCGTCCCCCAAAGGGGTCTCGACTCACAGGTTGAGAACCACTGTATTATTGGAATCAGATTGTTAGGATCTACTATGTTTTTGCTGAGGCCAGGGGCTGTCTGGACTTTATATTTGGCCCTCAGGGCGTCCTCTGCCGTCTCCATTTGCTTTCTGATGGTATGTTAAGCTCGGCAGGGTTGTTTCTTTTGAAAGCTTGTTGAAGAAGTCTTTAACCTTCTGCATGGTGTTGAGTGAGGCGGATTCTTGGTCCGTACCCACCAAACCGACAGAATCCTTGTGTATGCGGTGTGTTCCTATTGCAGTACGTGGTTTCTAGATGGAAAGTTGTTAGTTTTCTTAGAAAATTAGGGAGAGTTTTAACTAGTTTCTTCAAAATTTTGTTCATAAGTTAGGCTCTGCTGTAAATTTATTCTTCAAAAAAATTCATTTTCCTTTTACTTTCAGTTTCCTTTAATTTAAAACCCTTAATTTGAAGGGGAGTTTTGATTTTGGACTGAACCCGGTTACGCTCCGGTGTCGAGTCTCCGGATTGGGAACAGGTTGGTTGCTGTAATCCGCCACCTCGGCTCCGCTTGGACAGAGAGGCTGCTGCGACCCTCAGGCCTCAGCCAGTCGGGAGTCAGACTCTCCTGGGCAGGCCCGTGCGGTGGACGACCACTGACCCGGGTCCTTAGAGACTAGTTCTCTTTCTCTTGGTGCCAGATTAATAGCAGCCTATCCCTGGTACTTCAAACCTCGACAGTTGAGCCGAACCTGAACACATGAACACACAGACAGAATTAGTATGCAATCACACAAGGTTTATTTACCTATTCCTAGTGGGTCCTAGGCTCCAGCAAAGGCCACACCGAAAGACGGACGACGAAGACAGACAGGCGGCCTCAGTTGAGCCAGGCTCACACAGCACAGCAGTCATCAGGGGCTCGTCTCACGAAGTTGTTGTGGACCAAGATTGGCTAGAATAAGACCACCGACTCCATTTAGGTCTTAAACAGCAAGCGAGGATTTATTGAGCTGGCCAGCGACTACAGTTACAGCACCCTGCCGAAGCAGAGGCTGTACTGCAGTGCCGACTTCAGGAGTTACATTTTATTATTAAGTTTTGTGGAGGCCCAGAGAAAATGTGTCTTTCAAATTCTGGGCCCCCAATATGGAGGAAACTCTCTTTATTTATACTTTTTCCAATCCTTTGTCTCCCAAATTTGGAATGAGACTTCGGGCCTTTGGAGAAAGAAGGCCTGCGTGCTGGGAAGGGGCCATGAGACCATATCTCAAGGCCTGGCCTGATGTCAGTACCTTCCTATATATGTGTTTTAGGAACAGACAGCACAGCATGACCCGTCTGGCCAAAGTGCCAGATATGCAGCCCAGCACAGAGTGACGTGGAGTCCGCCTCTCATCAGGCTGGAGACGTCCACTGAAGAAAATCTGGTGCTTCTATAGCCAGTAGTAAACAACTTGTGTCTTATCAGTGTGGGCCAGACGGTGTGCCTTATGCTAGGAGCAGGGTGTTTACACTTTCAGGGCTTAGGGCATTCCCATCAAGATAGTGGGGCGTTCACCACATTTTGTAAGTTACAGAGTATTGGGGTCTTCACACAGCAAACATTTCACACATTAATCATTTCCACACATTAGAGGGGCTTTCTTATGACCATAACATATTATAACACTAAGGAACAATGCAGCTCAGTCAACAGGACAGCAGCCCAGTGAATAGCTGTGGCAGGAAACAATGGACTGCACATAAGTCTACTTCACAATGGAGCCTTTTCATAAAAATCATACTATGGTAAAACAAGGTATAAAGAACGATGTTTTCTTAATTCCATCACACACCTGGCTTCACAATGCACACAGATGTCTAATAAGCAGTTGGCCATCTTTAAGGATACAGTATCCTAATGGTCTCCTCATTTCTACCTCCCTGCGGAATAAGGGACCACGTGGACTCAGGAGATAGTGGACTTAATACAAAATGAAGGTGATGTTGACCGAACTCACCGAGCACCTACTCACGTGCGGTTTCCTTTCATCGAATGGATAATCCAGTCCATAGGATCGGGTGAGTGTGGAATAACTTCACTTGATTATACTCTTAAATGCAGACTCAGAATGCTGACTATCAAATAGCCTCCCAAAACTCTAGACACTCACACAAGTCTGTCAATATACTTGTGACTTTGTCTTTTAAAAAACTGTATCTGGCCCATGCTGTTTTCCAGTCATCTCTTCTAACGGAGTCACTGTTCATACGGAAGGAAGTTAAATGTTGATCCTCTAGTTAGACATTAATTGTACTCCACAAGGAGGAGCCTAAGTGATTTCCTGGTCAACAGGTTGGGATTTGGGTTCTTATTTATTTGGTTTGCTGTTTGTTATGGTTAGACATTGTTCAAGCCAGAACATTAATTCGTCGGTTAGACACATCCTCACGCATCAGACCACAGAGCTGCCTGACATTGTCCAGTTGGCCCTCAGGTGGTGACAGTGAAAGCAGCATGTTGTGAAGCACAGCGAACACTAGTGGGAAATGATCAGAATCATTTTACAGGCTTGGAACACGCTAACGCGATGCCCTCACCACGGACCCTGAAAACACACCTTCCCTTCCAACTGCTGCCTCCGTCTTTCCTGGAGAAAAACTGTAAGGTAAAGAGCAACAGGAGCTTTGAGTGACACTCTGGTCTTCAATCTACTTCCTCAGAAAGCTCTTCACTTATTCAAGGAAAACCCTTCACCTCTTCCCAACAACTGGCTCTGAGCCTTTCATCTCCCAATACCCACATCCAGGATCCGCATTCTTAAGACCCCCAGATGGACGGATGGAGCTTGTGGGCGATAACCAGCGTGCAGCGGCCTCACGGGCTGTTTCTCTCCCCCCTTCTCCCCCCAGATAATCTATATGGCGAGAAACCCCAAGGACAACCTGGTGTCTTACTACCATTTCCACAGGATGAATAAAGCGCTTCCGGCCCCCGGGACCTGGGAGGAGTATTTTGAGAGCTTTCTGACTGGGAAAGGTATGAACATTCAGCTCTGAACCCCTTCCTAAGCCTCCAACACCATCAAAAAGGTCATTTCCTGAGGACCCATGGGAACTGCCTTCTTGGATGTGAGGGGATCACCACCTGACACTGGGAGCTCTCTCCTCCGTGGAGTGTCAGCTGGTGAGCTGGACTCACCCTGTCCCTGTCCCATTCCCCTGGCCCCACGCCCTGGCCCCATCCCCTCCCTGTCTTGCAGTGTGCTGGGGCTCATGGCACGACCACGTGAAAGGATGGTGGGAAGCCAGAGACCAACACCGCATCCTCTACCTCTTCTACGAGGACATGAAGATGGTGAGGGGCAGCACGTTCCTATTTGACCATGAAATATTACATCATAGCATAGCGGCTGCATCAGGGCCTCGCAGAGTGAACAGGGAGCAGAGAACGGCTGCATTTCACTGGAGACAGCTGTCCCCGTGCGCAATGCACTGGGCTGCCCTGGCTCCTGCATCGCGTCTCCCGCAGCCCCCGGCTGCTGGTCCCTCGCCTCGCCTTCCAGCACCTCTATTTTAAATTCTGCTTAGGAGGGAAACGTTTTTCTAACACATTTTTTTCATTGAGGGACATCAGTTTCAAGAAACAGTTTAAGAAATGATGGTATAATGAGAAAATACTAATGATTTAGAGTCAGAATTATTGAATTCAAATTCTAGCTTTATTGCCAGATATAAAATATCGAGAGTGAAAAAACACAGAATTGTTTTCTCTGTTTTTAATTGAGATAATTGAGGTGTAATATAGTGTTAGTTTCAGGTATACAACAGGATGACTTGATATTTGTACACCTTGCAAAATGAGCACCACAATAAGTCTACTTAACATCTGCACCAAATATAGTTATAATTATTTCTTTTTTTAAAAATATATTTTATTTATTTATTTTTTTTTTACAGAGAGGAAGGGAGAAAGAGAGTTAGAAACATCGATGAGAGAGAAACATTGATCAGCTGCCTCTTGCACATCTCCCACTGGGGATGTGCCCGCAACCCAGGTACATGCCCTTGACCGAAATCAAACCCGGGACCCTTCAGTCCGCAGGCCGACGCTCTATCCACTGAGCCAAACCGGTTTCGGCTATAATTATTTCTTATAGTTCAGCACCTCTCAGGTATGCAATGCAGTATCATTAACCACAGTCGCCTGCTACACATACACCCAGGACTGACTGAGTGGACAGCTGGGCGTCTGTATCTCTGACCCCTCACCCTCTCCACGCAGCCCCGTCCTGCCCCCTGCACCCCTAGTCTGTTCCCCGTGTCTATGAGTTCTTCTTTTGTTTTAAATTGCACTCTATGGTTTTTTAAAACAAATAATGTATTACATTTCTAGTATTCTAATACACAGGTAGTCTAACCTCAGAGTCCCTAAACCCTTTTACATGTTCTGTGGTCTTATTCTGGAATATTCCCTGAATGTAGTCACACAAAGCTTCAGTTTCCTGCACTCTTGCTGATTCTTAGTCTGTAGGCCAGTGATGGCAAACCTATGACACGCGTGTCAGAGGTGACACATGAACTCATTATTTTTGGTTGATTTTTCTTTGTTAAATGGCATTTAAATATATAAAGTAAGTATCAGAGATATACATCTTTGTTTTACTACAGTTGCAGATATCAAAAAATTTCTATATGTGACAGGGCACCAGAGTTAAGTTAGGGTTTTTCAAAATGCTGACATGCTGAGCTCAAAAGGTTCACCATCACTGCTGTAGGCCAATTAAATTAAGCACTTTTTGTTGTCGTTAATCCTCACCCAAGTGTATGTTTTTTTTCATTGGCTTTCTGAGAGGGTGGGAGGGAGGGGGAGAGAGAGAAACATCGATGTGAGAGACACATGGATTGGCTGTGTCCCCCAGCTTGACTGGGGCCGGGGATCCAGCCTGCAACTGAGGTACATGCCCCTGAGCAGAATCAAACCTGTGACTCTTCAGATCACAGGCAGGGGCTCTAACCACTGAGCCTCTGGCCTGGGCACATTAAACATCCAACCTTTTAAAGCTGAAGCTCATCATAAAGCAGAAGATACCGTCGTGGGGTAAACTCCTCCACTTGCCCTTCCCCCACTCCATCTCCCAGGGCTCTGCCTCCCTCTGATGAGAGAACACTGGCTCCCTAGGCACTGAGACACCTACGCACCGGTCGGACAGGCTGGGCCTGGAGTCGTCAGCTGTGGGCACCTCTCAGTCGCCTCCTGAGTGCAACAGGTCCTCTCCATCCTCTGCCGCACAGCACTGTCTGGGCGCGTTTCTGTCAAAGTCAGCCAGCGGCAGCCTCCCCCGTCAGGCCTCCATCGCCTGCCCCGTGCCTCTGTGGTATCTTAGTTCTATGGACTCTCCCTGCTGCACACGTGGCCGACCAAGACCCTCCAGGAACGGCCCGAGCAGGACATTTGGAAATAAGTTTAGGGCAGCATTCCCCACACACTGCATCACACTCAGGGGTGCTTCCATCTCAGAGCAGGAAAAGCTTAATAATTATGGTTAATTTTTTTAAAATAAATCTTTATTCTTCAGATTATTACAGATGTCCCTCTTATTTCCCCTCCATAGCTCCCCTCCACCTGGTTCCCACCCCACCTCAGGCCCTTACCCCTGCCACTGTCCTCATCCATAGGTGTACGATTTTTGTCCAATCTCTTCCCGCACCTTTCACAACCCCTTCCCCCTGAGAATTGTCAGTCCACTCCCTTTCTATGCCCTTGCTTCTATTATATTCACCAGTTTATTTTGTTCATCAGATTTTTTTATTGACATAATTTTTAAATTCACTTGTTGATAGAGATGTATTTGTTGTCCCTTTGTCGTTCATAATTTTTATCTTTACCTTTTTCTTCTTCTTCCTCTTCTTAGAGAATACCCTTCAGCATTTCATATAATCCTGGTTTGGTGGTGATGAACTCCTTTAGCTTTTTCTTGTCTGTGAAGCTCTTTATCTGACCTTCGATTCTACATGATAGCTTTGCTGGGTAGAGTAATAGTGGTTGTAAGTCCTTGCTATTCATCACTTTGAATATTTCTTGCCACTCCCTTCTGGCCTGTATGGTTTCTGTTGAGAAATCAGCTGACAGTCATATGGGTACTCCCTTGTAGGTAACTAACTGTTTTTCTCTTGCTGCTTTTAAGATTCTCTCCTTGTCTTTTGCCCTTAGCATTTTAATTATGATGTGTTGTGGTGTGGTCCTCTTTGGATTCCTCTTATTTGGGGTTCTCTTCGCTTCCTGGACTTGTAAGTCTATTTTTTTCATCACGTAAGGGAAGTTTTTCTGTCATTATTTCTTCTAATAGGCTTTCAATATCTTGCTCTCTCTCTTCTTCTGGCACCCCCATAATTCGGATGTTGGTACGTTTGAAGTTGTCCCAGAAGCTCCTTACACTATCTTCACATTTTTTTATTCTTTTTTCTTTTTGCTTTTCTGGATGGGTGTTTTTTGCTTCCTCGTATTTCAAATCTTTGACTTGATTCTTGTGATCCTCTAGTCTGCTGTTGGATCTCTGTATAATATTCTTTACTTCAGTCAGTGTATGCTTAATTTCTGACTGGTCCTTTTCCATTTTTTTGGCATTCTCATTAAGATCCTTGAAGGTCTCACTAAGTTCCTCAGAGGTTTGTAGAAGATTCCTGAGTAACCTTATAACTGTGGTTTTGAGCTCTAAATCCAGTAATTTGCTTTCCTCCGTTTCTTTCATTTGTGACATGTTTGTCTCCACATTTTGGCTGCTTCCCTCTGTTGATAGTGGCTTTATGTGGTAGGTGTCCTATTGGACCCAGTGGGTCAGCCTCCCCAGTCACCTAAGGTGGACACTCTTGATGCACCCCTTTGTGGGCTGTGTGCATAGTCTTGTAGTTAAGCCTTGATTGCTGTTGGTATCCCTGGGAGGAAATGACCTCCAGGCCAATTGACTGCAAGGACCCACTGTGTCTGTAGTGGAAGAACTGCTGTGCTGGAGACACCCTTATGGAGCAGGACTTGCTTCAGTGGGGCTTTGGTGCTCACTGAGTCTGCCTCTTGAGTGTGTCACTTATGGATGTGAGGAGTTGAAATCTGGTATCTGACCACTGGGTACACTGGCTCCTGGATCTCCAAGGAGGTGCAAATTTAACCAACATGTGAGTCCTCCCAGCAGGAGCGAGATCTGCAGATTTCTCCTCTTTGTTTGGGGTTTGGAAATTTTGGAGCTCTCTGACCCAGCTGCAGTTTGTTAGGTTAGGCTGCAAAAGGACAGGCAATTCGTTTGCGCTACTGTGCACAGCTTGGGTGAGGTTATAAGTTGGGTGGGGCAGGGTCTCAGAGAATCACCAGGGCGGAGAAAACAGTGATGCCTGTCTGTCAGCCATCTCCAGGTCTCTGTGTCCCCGCGTCACCTAGACCCAGGCCCCCACAGTAACAATGATCCCTGCGAGCAGTTCTGCAAGAAAGCCACCCTCACTTTCCGACCCGATGCCAGACCATCCAGTTTCTCCCCATGGGAGTCTGGGTCCCTAGAGTCTCGCCGGAAATGAGCTCAGTGCAGTCGGGAGCTTGCATCTCCCAATTGAAAAAAACCATGCACCCAGGTGCAGCCCAGTTCGCGCGCCTCTGTACCTCTGCTCTTGGTGCCTCCACACCTCTCACCGAGCCTCAATGTGCTTTTCTCTTTCCTTCTAGTTGTAGAACTTCCACTTAGCCAGCTTTCCCGTGATTCTGGATGATAGCCTTTTTGTCTTTTAGTTGTAGTTTTAATGTGGTTGTGGGGGGCTGCACTGATAGGTATACCTTATGCCGTCATCTTGGTTTCTATGGTTAATTTTTAAAAAAATGTTTTATTGATTTTTTACAGAGAGGAAGGGAGAGGGATAGAGAGTTAGAAACATCGGTGAGAGAGAAACATCTGCCTCCTGCACATTCCCCACTGGGGATGTGCCTGCAACCAAGTTACATGCCTTTGACCAGAATCGAACCTGGGACCCTTCAGTCCCCAGGCCGATGCTTTATCCACTGAACCAAACCTGTAAGGGCTATGGTTAATTTTTAAAAACCTGTATCACAGTATTAAAATGAGTCATTTCTGGAAAGTTCAGCATTTCGGAGGCAGGATTGTTTTTTGATTTTATGTTACTTATCACCATTATTAATTCAATGCAATATTTTTTAAGCTGTTTTATATCAAATCTTCACTTTTCTTTTCACTCTGATCACAGAACCCAAAGCATGAAATCCGGAAGCTGGGAGAATTTATTGGGAAAAAGCTGGATGACAGCGTCCTGGATAAAATTGTCCATCACACTTCGTTTGATGTTATGAAGCAAAATCCCATGGCTAACTACTCGACAGTCCCTGCCAAGGTCATGGACCACTCGGTGTCTCCGTTCATGAGGAAAGGTGGTTTTCTCTGCTCGTCACGACCTTAAAAGAGCTGTTGAGGACCCCAGGGCCTGTGGGGAGGTTTCCATGGATAAGACAAGGTCCATAATAAATGATACTGGGGAAGGAGTATTTAAGAGACCACAGATGAAATGAACGTGTAGCCACACTAGAGAGTAAGGTTTAGTGCTTAAACCCACCACCTTATCTCACTTTCCTCCAGAGTTCTCGATGATAAGGTGGAAATACACTTAGGTCCGATGGAGCAAAGCATCCACGGTGTAGATGGCTCTATGCTTCTGACATGCAAGAAAACGGGGAAAGACAGGAAAGCCCTTAGGCCTGCGGTTTTAACGTGGTGTCCCCCTCCCGACCCCTGCCATAACGTGGCTCAGGGGCAGCAGGCTCTCCTGGCCTCACAATCAGACAGACGTCTGTCCTCTTCCCTTCGGATGGAAAGGGACGGGCTGGCAGGAGGAACGCCGAGCCCAGCCCTGGCCTCCTGCAGGGCGAGTGGACACCGCACACAAGAGCAGGACAGAGGGCACACAGTCCTCCAGCAGCTCTGACTCCCATGTCTTTTCAGGGGAGGTCGGAGACTGGAAGAATCACTTCACCGTGGCTCAGAACGAGAGGTTTGACGAAGACTACCAGCGGAGAATGGCTGGGACAGGTCTAACTTTCCGCTTCCAGTTCTAGAGAGAGAAAGTGTTCAGTTTATTACCCAACTCACTGGGCAACAACCCATAGCAGCTTCATTCCCAGACCACACAGCATTGGGCCTAGGTTCTCAGACCAGTTGTTCGTCATGTTTGTTTTTGTTCACTCGACAAAGAAAAGATCAGAGTTAGCAGTGAGGGGGGAGGTGGGGAGTGGGAACTGTGGGGAGAAGGTTCAATAAAATACTAGTTACAAACATGGCATTGGTGCTAATGATCATTCTGCTGAAGCTTACAGATCATGTGCTTGTTAACATTAACAATGCTCCAGTCCTCACATAAAAACACACTCGAGTTTTCAGATTAAGTCTTGGTTAAAGGTAGCGTCTTTTTATTGATTGATTTTAAGAGGGGGGGGGTAGAGATAAACATCGATTTGCTGTTCTACTTATGTATCCATTGTATGTGCCCTGACTGGGGATCGAACCTGCAACCTTTGTGTAATGAAGACAACGCTCTAACCAACTGGGCTGCCTGGCCAGGGCCAAGCTAAATGTTAATGCCGCACTGAAATGTGTGAACAGCGACTAATTCCAACCAAGGCTTGTCAGCCAGGTACCCCTGGCTTCCCCCTGAAATCTCCAGTTCACCCCAGGGTTCAGGCTGTAACACCTTCACCCCCATCTCTCACCACAACCTGGGGACGTGGCTGGACTCGCTTCCCCCACAAGTGCGACCATTCAGTCCGTCGTGCTGTGACACTGAGTGCCTCCACAGTCGCCTTCTCACACTCAGCACCGCCTGCCGTATGCCCTCTATGGCCGTCCCCTCCATAGCCCCAGGTCAGACCTGTGCCTCCTGCCCAGGGAGTGTGGGCTTCCCGACGGTTTCTCTGCTCATCACACCTGCCAGGGCTACGCTCCTGCCGGGAAACTCTGATGGCATTTCCCCTAGTGCTACGTTCTTCAATAATGCGGAAGTTTCCCTCTGAGAGTTGTACCCAAGCTTCTTAGCCATGAATTCGGAGGCAGCCATAACTATGTTCGATACCGGTGATAGCATCTTCCAAACCGCCTCCCACAGAGCCTGCTCTCACCTGTCAGGCCCTAAACTACTAGTTTCATTGTTGTGGCGTCTCCACTCCTTCTCTCTGCCCTGCACATGGGCAGCGTGCCCAGCCCCCGCACCTCATGCTCCTGAAGAGACCCCTGTCCCTCTGACTCCTCTACACTTGGTATAATTTGCCTTTTTATTAATATTAAAGCATATTGCGCTGTCACTGGTCTATGTTGTCTTTCCTGTGCTTGTTTAAACTTCCTCTGTGTATTTTTCTCTAAGATAGGGACGACATACCTCATTGCACACCAAACAGCATGTACCCTGCACAGAAATAAGGAACTGGAAGAACATTTCACTCAAGAAAATTCTAAAAAGCTAAGTGTTTATTTCCTAAGGAGCTTAAAACGGCTCTCCTCTGTAGGTAGCTGTGCAGCACCGTGGAGCAGCCCCGCGTGGCTGTGTGATCAGCATTTACACTCCAGCTCCTCACTCTCACCAGCCAGGCTCCCAGGCTCAGGAGCACGTAACTGGGCCTATCATTTGGACAGCGCGTTTTCTTAATATATTTTATTGATTTTTTACAGAGAGGAAGGGAGAAGGGATAGAGAGTTAGAAACATCGATGAGAGAAAAACATCAATCAGCTGCCTCCTGCACACCCCCTACTGGGGATGTGCCCTTGACTGGAATCGAACCTGGGACCCTTCAGTCCGCAGGCTGACGCTCTATCCACTGAGCCAACCGGTTAGGGCCACCATTTCTTTCTTCTTTTCAGTTGGGTCAAGTTTCTAAGCTTTCTAAATCTCCGTTTTCTGGCTAATGAAAAGAAAATAGGATTCCACCAAATCTCCTATCTACCTACTCCAGGACTTCTGTGAGGATCAAATGAGATGAGGCATGGGAAAACGCTCCACAGATATTTGGAAGTGTAAAAAGATTCCATCTGTGTTCCTGGAACTCCAAGGAGGCTAGTTGCTAGGGAGAGGAAGCTGGGCGTTGCTACCTGACATCATTACTTGCCGGCCAAGCCACCGTTTCCAGGCTGGGCTGGGCTATGGGCTGCATTTTGCACCATGGGGTCTTGGCAGGTCGGCTGCGATTTGGTGGGGTGTCACTCCAGGTTGGTGGTGGGGCCTGTGTCCCACTTGGGGGAAGCCAAGTGTTGCTTTCTGGGCGCCAGGTCCGCGGTGTCACTTCTCTGTGCACATCACGGCAGCATCTGCATTGAACATCTGCCCCTTGGTGGTCAATGTGAGTAATAGTGACCGGTCAGAAGGTGGGAAGGACACTTAGCATATTAGCCTTTCATATAGATAGACTAGAGGCCCGGTGCATGAATTTGTGCATGGGTGGGGTCCCTCGACCTGGATGGTGATGAAAGTCCATGGGGGGAGGCCCTGCTGGCCAGGGGCAGGGACCCCTGGAAAGTTGGCCCACCAGCCCCCCAATCATGGCCTATTGGGGGCCAGCCAGCAGGGGGCGGCATGGGAAGTTGGCTGTGGGAGTGCACTGACCACCAGGGGGCAGCTCCTGCATTAAGCCCCTGGTGGTCAGTGCATGTCATAGTGACTGGTCTACCAGTCATTCTGGTCATTTGGTTGTAACGGTCACTTAAGCTTTTATATATATAGATTTCTATCACCAGAAAGAGATCTAGTGGACAAGACCTTTTATTTTCACAAAAATCCTTTGGGTGTGGACTTATGTCCCAATGGGAAACTAATCCTACAGGTAAGAGGCATTAGGTAAGTTCTTCCATGGGGAGTGATGGAACCTAGTTTGAAAGGCGCCTCTAGTGTTTCTAAGCCTGGCATCTGACTGCTCAGCATTAAGCCTCATCCTTCCTGTCCTGCTCAGTCTCACCACAGGCTTCCACACTGACCACAGGCTGCTCGCCCGTCCCAGACCCTGAACCAGCCCAGGCTGGCCAGGTGTTGGCCACTGTCCGCCCACAATCAGGTGACTTTTAATAATGTTCCACTAAATGGCTAGCCCACCCCACTGTCAAAAGCGCTGAAGTCGGCAGGGCCCCAAGAGGACTATGGCCTTGCACTTGACTACCAGGGACGTGTCCGATCTGAACTCTGTCCTTCATTCCTTTACATCTACATTCCTCCCCTGGAATGGGCACAGCAAGGCTCTGCAGGCCTGATCAGACGCGGCGCCTTCTGCGGCTGTGCTCCAGCTCCCCCAACCCCCAGGACCCCAGCCTCGGAGCCTGCCAGCTCCCTGGATAAACAGCACAGGGAGAGAGGGCTTGAGCTCAGGTCATGTGACCTTGCACTCAGGTTTCTACCTCTTACTTTCCCCCAAACCACCTACATAACCTTGGCAGGTAAATATATTTTGGATATTTAACCCTAGCACAAACAGACCAACTCAAACAGGCCTTAACTTGGCCTCTCCCCTCAAGTCTCTTAAAACTAGTGATTAGCACATTATGCTCTTCATCTATTTGTATCCCTTCCTTTACCTCAAGCCTATTAGTACATTGTCCATGCTCTGTGTTTCATCACCAGAGCAATGTCCTTGGATTCCTGTGGAGGAAGTCTGATTTGAATCAAGAAAATGTGTATTAAAACAAACTGCACATAAGAGATGCAAGAACTACACTAGCACAGTGCATTTGGTGCGATGATTCTATGTAAAACATGAAGACGCTTCTGTGTCCAGCAGTGTTGGGAGGAGACTTGTACAATTGCTTCCTAGATTGTCCGGGGTCGATGACACTGCAGTGACCTGAGGAGGGGACACGGAGGAGGCTGAGCAGGTCTCCTAAGAGCTGCAAGCACGGCTCCAGAGGAGAGACTGTGCTGGGACGTGGGGCAGGCGCCCAGGGTGAAGGGGTGGGTGGTGCCCAGGCAGAGGGAAGCCTGTGTCTCCGCCCCTGGAACTCCTGGGTGTGGAAACTGCCTCAGAATCTCGCCTTCAGGCTGGACGAAGGACCTTTGTGTGAGCTCAGCACCAGCTCAGGTGCTGGACTCCATGAGCCCGTCTGCCCAGCCCCGGCCGGCCCGATAGTCCTGCCAAAGACACTCGATGTGAAGAGAGAGACCAGCTGGGACCATACACCCTGAAGGCGCCATCTCTAGAGAGAGAGAGCACCTCTGTCCTCAACTCGTGCGGGACTCAGCCCCCGGCCTGCAGGCGCCTGCGGGTTAGTGATCTGATCTGATCGGGCGGGCGGCTCTCCCACAGGATTCATGGGAACCCCCTGCTGTGCTGTCTGCGATCTGGGATGGGACTGAGGTGAGGCAACTGGGGCCTAAGCACTGAGGCATCTGATTCCTCGGCAGAGAAGCCTGTGCCAGGGAAAGGGCAGGCGTGGGCCAGGAGCCCGTCCTCCGGGATGGGGGAGAGGGGGGACTGGGGGGTGAGGGGAGGGGTTAACAGCAAGAGCCCGGGGCCCTTTCTTCAGTGACTGGGCAGAAGCGTCCAGAAGGGAGCGGGAGGCAAAGTGCAGCGGAGCTTCCTCAGGGGCCGCCCTGGGCAGGAGGGGCCGGCAGACGAGTGCCCCCCCCC